AAGGACTTTAAAGAATTCATTGTATGGGGACTATGAATGACTGTACAAAGTGTTAGTATACTTGCAGTGATTCCAATGGTTGACCTGACAAACTGACATTGCTGTTTATTGGGCCACGCTGGGTAATTTCTTTAGCCCAGATAACATTATGTAGGCTCTGCAATCTGAATACCTTCAATCAGCCTGTAAAGATTCCAAACATTGCTATATGAAGCTTACATAAATAGAGATAATGAAAGTCCTCCCAAAGCAGTTTCATAAGGGAAAGCATTGACTGAGCTACCAAGAAGTACACATCTACAGCCGTACAAACTCTTACCACAAACTAATATTAGATCTATTTCACTAAATGCAGACACTGATGCATTCTCACGGTCATGAATAATTTACTCAGCTAGAGAAATGAGCTTAGCCTGTTCATCTGGATGTCAGTCATAAATAATCACTGAGATTGTGCTCACCTATTGTCTAGCTTCTCAAGGCAGTGATCCAATAACATCCAGCCACTCAGGCCTCTCCTCAAATTCCAATTAGTGCTGCACAACTCCCAAGTTTCTGCAGTTGATTCCATCCCTGATTCAAATTATAATTTATAATTAGACCATTTACCAGCCGTAATTAATCAGAGAGATCAACAATAAGTGCAACAGTAAAATAAGTGAAAATTCCTCAAGCATCAACAGGGTAAGTAGGCTGATAATTCAGAGAGCCATGAGGAAGTGCCATGCTAATTGTCACTGGGATGGACTCTTTAATTTCTTTTAAACCATAATTAAGAATCTACACTAGAGAGGCAGCATCCAAAAGGCTAAGCCACAGCCCATATATGTGAATATGCTAAACTAATTACGTCTGAATAATGTTTCACGAGCTGAAATAATGTTGCATTCATTTACCCTCAATGCACAAATCAGTGTTGTCAAGATCCATTCTCTGTATGAGAATGCCTGCTGACAAATTCAAGTCTTTGCATAATATATGAGTATATTTTTCTATACAGTGTGCCCTTAAATTGCATTTAATCAAGTTTATCAAAACGTTATTTACCAAGGAAGACATTAACATTCAGCAGATATTCGTATGCGTTGTGAAGAGTAATACATAATTAATGACTTACAATGTTGTGTTAAATTGTATTCAAGGGTTCAGAAAAAAAAGTTCAGGTTTCTTTTCTCAAAGCATTGTGAGCTAGCAAAATGTTCATGTGGTTGAAATGGTCTGACTTAGTGATACTCTATTAACCAAGGATCAAATTATTGTAAAAACAAGGGCAGCACACTGACACAGAAATAAATTGTAATAAAGTTCAATGAAATTGAAACTCTCAACATAAAATGTTGTTGTTCACAATGCTGTCCTTGAGTCCATCCAGTTTCCACAGTGGCTGCAGCGGCTGTGGGTTTCTTTTATCTTGTCAAAAATGCACTTCAAAATAAACATCCAGCCATTTTCTTTTTTATCAGTATAAAATATCGGTTTCATCAATAACTGATTTCCCAGTTGTATGTGACATCCACCATTGTAATGCTGTAATCTGTGATTAAACCAAAAGAGCCAACATCAACTATCAATTCAAAAAACTAAGTTGCAGGAGTTTGTACAGTGACTTGAAGTAGAAGACATTATTTTTGCTGCATTGGTTGCCAGTTTCTAAAAACAGGCAGAAGCTTTTCAATTTGGTCTTTGTTTAGCTGCTTTCATAATAAGCCAGAAAAACGTTTTATCATACTCATTTCCAATTGCTTTTCAAATATTAGTCACACTAGTGAAAATCAGGTCAACAAAATCACAAACATGCAGCCCTCCAAAGTGACAAAATTGCTGTTTTAGAAAAATGCTGTGTCCCTCCAAGCTAATGATAAACCTGTCATAAGGAAGGCCTGGGAGGATGATAAATAAAAGGTCATCCTTCCTGGACCCTGAGGCCAGCTTATGCTCAGCAGACTGAGACTCTGGAGCAGAGCAGGTATGTGATGCCCTGACCTCTGTCATCTGAGGAGTTGCCGGCATCTGGCACCAGTATTAGCAAGGCAATCAAAGAGCGTGTGGCTAGTTGTAGCAGCCACATCACTATTCTCATCTACCCACCATCCCTCCATCCACCCGAGCTTCAACAAGGTACCGTGAGCAGTAGTCATAGCAACAGGCGGGCCAACCAATGCCCTTGGGGATAGTTTCTTGACAGAATTCCTCGGCGTCCTCTCTTAGTAAAAGGTCGCCCCTCTGCTGAATGGTTGTTTATCTTTGCAGGCTTCGGTGTGTCGTCGTCCCCCCCCCCCCCCCCCCGGCTAGCTTAATCGCTCTCTCTTCTGTTCAGTTCCTCCCCACCACTTATTTTGACTGCCAAAACTCATCTCTGAATTAAGTTAGGAATTTGAAGCTGTAAAATCTGTGTGGTATCCATCCACAGAGCCGCAGGACAAAAACTGACAGAGTTAGAATGCATTCGTCTTTTTCCCATTCAACATCTGTTTTGTTTGCTTTTATAACAACAGTGAAGGTGGTACCGCACAACTCTAGCTTCCTATTTCACCCTGATATCTACAAAAAACCTTTAGGGACTTTCAAGAGTACAACAACAAAGGTTCTGTGAATAATGGGTAATGTGTAAGTGCAGGCTATTCACATCAGGATATTTATATTGTCTCCTCTCTGAGGTCACACATCTTGGCTCCTCTGCACTGGAGAGGAGTTGCTAACTGACATTTATAATGACACACACATATACACACACCTGATGAATGGCTAGGCGAAGGTAGCTTCTTAAAGATCCAACTGAAGGAGTGTCTTTCAGGCTTCTGCAGAGGGAGATAAATGGTGGAAGGAGAAGACATTAGAGGGACAGATAGAAGGAGAATAAATGGGGAGTGAAGTGCACTGTCAGAATCCATTGGGAGAATCAAAGGAGAAAATAATCATTCTCAATCAAATGCATGTAATCCCTTTCAGAGACAGAACCAGCTGCTACAGCATCATTTGTCACCGCTGCACACCTTTGAGACGGACAGATGATCCTTTGTAAGTCAGCTAAATATTGAAGACCGAAATTCTGATTCAAAACTAATCTTTTTAAATGATTAGTGTAATTACAATTCAAAGCAGAAGTAGTGTAATGGATTTTTAGTCTTGGAGTGAATTCAATATGGGGCCTATCTGCGACACATCAACCCTCATCTAATAGCATGACACAAGGTAGAGATCAGTAATGTATGAGTGCAATTGTAAATGAGCCGTGCTCCCCCATAAGCCACTCTTATCAGAAACAACAAGTGACAGGAATATGAATCCAAACTATTGACTAATGTGACTCAGCCTTCTGTTTCCATCAGTCTGTCTCTGCCTCTGGCCCTCAGAAAGGAGTTCACCCTCAACAGTGAAGCCCTGCATAATAATCCTGAACAGTGCTGCTTTATCTCTCTCTCTTTTTGCCTCTCGGTGCCATCAAAATCACAATCAGTGTCTCATCTTTAGCCAGCAATCATAAGAGTCCTAGATCACAAATCTATGCTTACATATCTCGCTCTCTTTTCTCACACAATCAATTCCAACCCATTTTTTTTTCTTTCAGTCAGGTTTCTGCCACAAACAGAAACCCACATGTCACACATATACACACAAAAACACACACACACGCCATTTCAGTAATCTTGCTTTCGCTGCCTCCCACACAGGCATCTGTAAAAGACTATGTGTGGTTCACAGCAGTAGCTTGCTTGGTTCACACTTAAAACAGGTTGGCAGATTCAGAAACCTTTATGTATACTTTGTCCTAATAATGTGTATTATGTTAATGGTTATCGAAGGCGTAATAACAGCGCAGCTTTGTTACGACACTGTTTCCCACACGCAATGTAAAAAGGGGTTGTATGTATGTCATGGTCAAGGGTCAAGGTCAAGGAAAACTTTATTATCCCCGAGGGGCAATTTGCTTTACAGCCAGCTAATTGTCATTCAGTTTCTTGACAGTTGGTTTTCTAATTGGCTTCACATTTGTGTGACTGAGGATTCAAGAGAGTGAGGTTTGGGTTTGGTTTGACCAGATGGTCACTAACTTTCAGCCTGTAAGAATTCAACATTGCTTTAAACGCACAGTATCTACATTTTGCCGCAAGAGGACTCTCAATCAAAACAATAATAAAAGATAACGGATATATATAGAAGATAACGATTCTGGTGTGAATCTGTCTGCTACTCCACCCTCGACCCCAATGAAAACAAACTCAGAGTAAACCGTAGTCAAGACGAATGGACAAAACAGATCTGAAGAAGAGAATATGTTCACCGATGACGTATCCAAGTATAATTTACCTTTTTGTCTGTGGCTTTGATAACTGTTGGAAAAATTTGAGCTAATGTAAGTACTCAACAAAAAATATATATAAAATAGGTTTAGTCCATTTTTAATTAATTTTGATATTTAAGTGCAAAAATTCTACATAGGACCTAAATTGATTCTTTCACCATTTTGAACTACGTCTCAACCATTTTATTGTCATTCTCTTTATATTATATTATATGCAGCTCTTCTTTGAGTTATTGCAAATTCATTTGGACGAAGTGTGGATGTGAAAAATGATTGACCATCACAGATGTTCTAGCATTGGGGCAGTGAATGGTGCTGGTTGCATCATGTTTAAATAAAGGAAAGAATGTATGTGTGTATGACTTGTCTTTTCCATATAGAATTGTTCACCAGATCAACCTCACACTTGGTGGTTGTATTGGCTCAGACTCAAGGGAATGCAGTGTCAAGTGTGAAGTGGATTGGATGAGTGGTTCTCAAGAAGGGTGCAAGCAGCCCACCACAGTGCTCTACATGTGCCTAGCACTTCTGGGGGGGCAAGCAATCAACCCTTTGCTCCCAGAGGGCATGCAATCCAGACTACCATGTTCTTGGAACTGGCACCACACTACTGCTGCAGAAGAGTATTTTTACTGTAAAGAGAACAGGGAGTGATTTTTTTGTTTGCGCTCCCTTCCTCCTTTCTCTTCTTGTGCAGGTGAATGATTGCGAAACAGGGAGAGGTCTTCGCAGTGCAACGCTGTCCCATGCTGCTCCCTCCTCTCAGGGGATGGCCAAGGTCCAGGATGGACACAGTAATGCATGTGACAGGTACATTGTGCTATATATTATATATTATATTATATATATTATATAAAAACAACCCGTCATAAGAACACTTTCTTCCCCCAGGCTGTCACTCTGATGAATGCTAAACAGTCACAGAGTGTCAGACCTGTTGTTGTGAAATAACTCTAAACCAACCGTCACTGTGAATATACATATATGTATATGTATATTATTTAATTTAATTGATCCATATACGCACACTTATTTATGTAAATACTGTAATTGACATCTTAATTGACCCATCTGTCACATAACTGCATTTTTCTTATTATCGTGTTACTTCAGCATCTTTTGCAGTATTCACCACTGCTCTGTTTTATATTTAGTCATGTAAATATTAGTCTTTTCTTATTATGTTTATTGTTGATATTTAATGTTGTACCTGTACATAAGAGAGCACAGTTCACCGAAGTTAAATTCCTTGTGTGTGTAAGCATGCCTGGCCAATAAATCTGATTCTGATTCTGATATATGACCTTCAAACTTGTGAAATTTTACTGTTTTTAACAGATAACACAAATATTCATGTGTTTTTGTTTATATGCTGCAGCCCTGCAATGTTAGAAGAGAGCCAGGATGGTATGGACAGTGGTACCCTAAGTCCTGCCTCAGCTCGACAGGTCACCATCCAGCGCCACCCTACTCAAGGCTTCGGCTTCATTGCAGGCAGTCAGAGGCCTGTTATTGTACGCTCCGTCTCTGCCGGTGAGTGTGTGTGCATTTAGTAGAAATGAAAAAAGAGAGAACATATGAGGTGGTGAAAAAAATATCTATTCTATACATCCTGTGCATTGACTCTTAACACAGCCTGTCGGCACATGTGTCTGATCGGACTTGAAGCTGATTGTTGGCACTTACAATCGTTGTTTCCTCCTTTCTAGATCCTTGTGTTGTACTTACTCTTAGATGTACGTCGCTTTGGAAAAAAGTGTCTTCTAATGGGAATGTAGAATTGTATGTGCATGCCTCTAAGTTGATCCTGTAACGACTCAAATCAAATTTACCTTTTACCGTATTTATATGAATTTGTTTGCTTGCTGTGTGTCCCATCTGATTTGCAGACGGCCCCTCCTTTGGCAAGCTTCTCCCAGGAGACCAGATATTGGCCATTAACGAAGAGACGGTGAGCGACGCGCCCAGAGAGAGAGTCATAGACCTTGTAAGGTAACATCCTTTACTGTCCCAGGAGGGTGGGAGGGGGAGAGGGCCAGGGGGCCAGGGGGACCAGCAGCATGGGCAAGTGGAGATAAAAGAGGATACGGGTAAAAAGAGCGGATCAAAAGGAACAAACTGTTTCTTATTGCTGATGATGTGTTACATCGACACAAACCTGTGGATGAGTCAGTCCTTTTGCAGCTGAAGGACAGCGAGGAAATGGCAGATATAGACCAGCAGAAGCTCTCCAAATACTGTGCTGTCCGTGGCGTTATCTAACACACTTATACTTTCTGTTGTCTCTCCATAGACGCTGCAAAGAGACTATAGTTCTCACTGTGCTGCAGCCCCATCAGGTAGTATAATGGGACACTCACTCTCTTTCATGTTCTCTCCCTCAGGATTTCTCTCTCTCTTCATCTGTCTTAACACTTTCCTGTCGCTCTGAATCATACAGCACAACCAAACAGGACTCTGTTCCAGCTGTGAACAATAGTGCAGTGCAGACATACAGTACATTAGTATTCATGGCCATGATCAGGCCTACGCTTTAGAGTAATTTATTTTTCTGGTAACCCCTTTCGGAACAGCTCCATATAAGTGCATCAACACCTACATCTGGCCTTTTTAAACAGAGATTTGTATCCATCCATATAGAGGAAGGAGAAGTACTTATTCAGCTGACAGAAGAACTGGATATATCTAGAAGATGAAAAGCTGATTTAAAAATGAAAACATAATCAAATAATCAGACTTTTTGGTTTCAATTTCATAGTTTAGAACGAAGAGTCTGATATTCATATGGGTTTAGCAGTTCTGCAGGATTCCGCCCATGAGTTAACCCTTAATGGTTAATATCTTTTTTGTTCTTCAACCAAATGGCAATTCAAAATTATGTGATTTTAGCAAGTAAATCACGTTAGCTGTGTCGCATTGCAGCAGCATTATGCACGTCTCTTTAGCACCGGCACTCACATGGGCTTTTCTGTCATTTATGTATTTTCTTTCAAGCTGACTCAAGAGTTCCTCTCTCTCTCTCTTTCTCTCTCTCTCTCACTCTCTCGCTCTCTCCCTTTCTCTTCTTATCCTCAGTCACCTAAGTCTGCCTTCATAAGTGCAGCCAAAAAGGCCCGCCTGCGAACCAACCCGCCTAAAGTGCGCTTTTCCGAGCAAGTGTCCATCAGCGACCCAGACTCAGTAAGATCACTTCATCTTGTCTCTCTTTGACATGTGCATGCAAACACATTCAGCCCTCCTTCTCTCTCACGCTCTTTTGTTTTATCAGCCAACGCTAAAAAGCTTTAAGTATCCTCTCCCCATCCTTTCATTCTAGTCTGAGCTCCCCTTCCATATGTGTCTGATTCAGTGGTTTGGCCCTGAATAAACTGCTCCCTGAATTATTTGAATTCTTGCAGTAGCAACCTGAATCTTTTTTTAAGGCATTTTGACATTTTGAAAACTGCAACAGTTTCACTCCGAAATAGTAATTTATTTGTGTTTGTTTTTTTAATCTAAATGATTTGATGTCTAATCTTACCTGCATCGTTGCACATGGCAGAGATTTTACATTAACAAGTGGCTTTGGTTGAAAAGTTATAGACCTTTTTGTGTTTCCTCCTCGCTATAATCCCGCAGTATGGTGATAGATCTGCTAACTCATAACTCAGGCTTTAGTGGCTTCCAATCTGCACAGAGGAACAGCATGTTTAGCTTTCTGAATACTTAAGTTCTCCAAAAGCAGACTGCCGGGCATCTGCTGTGGACCGAGCTCTCCATTTCAACTAAATGCATTTTCTGATTGTTGCAATGAATATACTTCCTTTTACTGTCACAATTAATGTCTGCCTAGTATTCTCACAAATCTCATCACACAACTAAAAGCAGAGAAGATAGAAAGAAAGAGATAAGGATTGATTTGGTTTTGGCCCTAAATGACAAATAATTTCATTGAGACTGGAAGGCTGAATCCTACATCCTTGACACATGTCACATTAGGCCCACTGGGTCTTGTTATATTACAGTTCTTCTTTTCCTCTAATCACGATCACCATTTTCTCAAAAAGCCCTCAGAATGATTTAAAAAAGAAAAAAGGAGAAAAGGAGACGAGGGGAGGGGCATCGACGGGAAGGGAAGAAGCCTGTCACATCAGATTCTCAGCACAGTGAGCTGAACTACATTTCATAACTTTTCTTCTGACAAGTGATTTGACTAAAGGTAGTAACCTGAATTAGGCTTCTTCCCTTTGCAGCCACTTACAAAATATTCAATCCCACCAGTCAATGTCCTTTGCATGGCATACACAGTGCATGGATAGACTGGATAATTTGAAAAGGGCCTGCTTTGATCAAGGGATCAATGTAACAAGTGGGCATCCTAAGGCAAAAAAAATGTGCTCAGACTATCCAGAGTTCAATTCAAGTGTCTTCATTGTAGAACCAGCTTTATTTTTTAACACTCATTCAAAAAAAGGACCTCCTTCCACTTCTTTTTCCACTTTTTTTGTAAACACCTACTTTTGGTGCAGCTGATTGTGTTTGTGTTAAACAATTAACTCCAGATTACCTCTTTGGCACACTTTATTTCACTTAAACAAAGCTGTTTTTCTCTCTTAATCTCTTTCAGACAATGCTCAAGGACGACTCCTTGCTACTCATACCAAATGTGTTGAAGGTGTTCTTGGAGAATGGACAGATTAAGTCCTTTACATTTGACAGCCGTACCACTGTTAGGGTAAGTATTTATGCCAGCTATTGTTAGTTTTAAAGCTACTGTGAGGAACTGTGAGGACACAGCAGAATGTATCATCTCTTTGTTGATCGTGTCCTGGACACCATTTAATTTAAATTTTATTTTTTACAAGAAACTCATTCTGCTGACTCTTAACAGTCAAAGGTGACATTCACAGTGAATCTTTGCAGTGAAAAATGTCAACCAAAGCACATCCAGTCTGTTTGCCAAAAATTGCTTTGTGTGAGACCAATCCAGTGGCAGCAGAGGAATGATGATCTGGTTTGCATTTTAGATCATATACACTAATTTGTATCAATAAACTCCTTATAGTAGCATTAACAATGGATCTATTGGATATAAATATACTGTATGTGATGAGCCTATAGATTTTCAACAAACAATGTAATTCTGCAAAGTTCTTAGGGGTATTTTAGTGTCAACTTTACTCTTGCTTTTGTTTACTTTTAGCGCATTGGGCAGTGTCTTTGAGTGCTGCTAAAACAGCTCTTTGAGCAACCAATCACTCACATAGTAGTGCATCATGTATTTCTCAGGACCTGGTAAAGACTAGAACATGGCAATGAGTGTGAAATATACATTCATCAGTGATCCAGAAACCAAACTCCAACTGAATTATAGAGTTACTCAGTGTCTGTTTCGAGTGTAATCAAAGCTTTTTTTTTTTGGCAACACACTGCTTTATAAAGTGATCGTTTGTAAAGGTTGTGTCGACAGCTTGATTTGCTGCCATGTTGAACAATTTAAATAACATACATACATTTCAATTCATTTAACATTGGAATAAATACATAATACTGTTGATCTTTGATGGTTCAATTTATTATTTTAAAGTTTTAGATTGTTCATTTTGTATAATAAAATAATTGTGGAGGTGTGTCACAGATTTACATGTTTACCATCATCACTGAAGAATGACTTAAAAAATGATTGTCTAATAAGATATATAACCAATAAGCGACCTTTTTTTATTTATTTAAGATTACAGTAATGTGATTAACAACATAAAGCAACATTTGAATTCAGACTGAGGTCATTTCTGTCCTAGGATAAGTATTACATCTCTGAGCAGACTCATTAAACAGACACTATTAGATTTCACAAAACTCTCTTGCTCTTTTATGGAGGAAGATCGAGAGAGAAGAAAGGGAACGCAGTAGCACTTTAAAAGACCGATGGGGGAAGCTCTCCTGTCAGCCTAATTAAATGGTATTTCAGCAAAATAAGAAGGCCCAGATCAATAAAACAATGTCACAGATAAAATCAATGGAACAAAAGGATGCCTAGTTGTGTACCCAGAAGGATGTCTGTAATCTAAAAAAGCTTTCCTGCAGTATTTTAGATGACAATCTAGGGCATTCTGTGGGTCCTTCGGTTAATTGTGTGGCCTCCCCAGGCATCATTTAATGAAAACCGCACAGGTCAATACTGTTAAAACTGCTTAACCAAGTTTTTCCGAGACAGCTGATGCATAGGTTACATGGTTGTCAATTAAATTGTTTAAGGAGAGCAAACCGTACACCGTACACCGCAGTGTACTTAAATCAGCTGCAAATGAGCCTCATAGCAGAGACTACAGCAAAATTTAATCACGATAACATCCCTAATGTTTTATACATATACTTACTGTATATAATCTTTACCTCAGGCAAAACCAAGGGTAAGTATGATAAAGAGTGAAATGCCACAGATAAGGCTCTCTCTACATTGTTTAAGCAGCATTTAAAGTAAGCTCTACATCTTTTATAGATACTGATCTGCAGAAGAGCCAGTGAGCCAGAGCCAGAACATTTCTTTCCAATAGGATGCTCTCACTGTGAAGAAAAAACATATAAATGAATACATCGTAACTGTGAAAATGTGTTTAAACCTAAAATGTGTTTCCATCTCTCTTCCTGCAGGATGTGATGTCCTCCCTGCAGGACCGCCTCTCACTGCGTTACATTGAGCACTTTGCCTTGGTGCTGGAGGCAGGCAGTCTGGACCAGAACCAGAGGTTGCATCTGTTGCAGGAGAATCAGCCTTTGACACATGTAAGATGTGCAACTCAAAACATGAAAATGAGGGCATGTAAAAAAAAAAGTTTCAATTGATGAAAATGCTATTCTGGATGCAAACTTATATTTTGTCCTGTTGGTTATTGGTTCTAATTTAGATTAAACAAAATCTATATAATGCAAACCATCCTGTTCACAATGATATTGTTACATGTGTGACTAATGCCAAACATATAATTGGTTATCTCCCTGATATCATCCTATTCCCTCAGGTGGTGCATAGAACCTATTTCCAAGGGATGAAGTGTCTATTCCGCGTCTGCTTCTTCCCCAAGGACCCTGCCGACCTGCTGAGAAGGGACCCTGCTGCATTTGAGTACCTCTATATACAGGTAAAGCACTGGATTAAAGTGGGATTTAAAAGGAATGTCATTCAATCTCGTGACACTGTTGGAGAGCTGTCTCCCTCAAGAGCAGCAGTTGCCAAGAGGAAGCTACGAGAAGTTCCTTAAAGTAGCAAGCGTGAATTTATCAGTTTCAATTGGATTATGTTTACCTTTGGCTTCTCTGAACGATTTTAGAGAAGAGAGTTTATGTCACAGGCTTAAATGCCCCTATTAAATGCTCTTCAAAAAAGTTTTTACAGTAATCCAACAGTCTAACTATCTGTCCCTGACAATTAAACCAATCACTAACAGAAGATTTCTAGTCTTTACCAGAGTTGTTTGCGGTTGGCAATGTTCAAAGAATAATTGATCCTGTCCTAACAGAGTCGCAATGACGTCATCAAGGAGCGTTTTAGCATGGACTGGAAATCTGATATCACGTTACGACTGGCTGCGCTCCATATCTACATCACTGTGTCCTCTGCACGGCCTAATCAGAAGATCTCTCTCAAACATGTAGAGTAAGTCCACAAACTTTACATTTTCATTTTAAATGAACTAGTGAGTAATTGCAGATCAAATGGATGTATGACATTTTCTGACCTTATTAAAGCATTCCCTGTATTATGTTCCTGAGTCCCAGAGTTAAGTTTGTTCATTCAATAATATCTGAATGATTTATATCTCATCTGAATGGTATCAAAAACTTAAATTACTCATGGATCATTTCCCCAAGTTCATTATGTTAGAGAGAATCCAGTGCTCTGTAAAATTACAGCTCTCCCTCAATATACTCGTTTATTCTTCAGTACCTTAACCTAGCAAGTAATTGGCTTACATAGTTATAGTTGAAGAGAAGGTAGGCTTGGCTTACTGTGTCTTCCTCTTCCAAACTCAGGTATTTGAGTTAAGAAATTGTCCCTGGACTCTGATTAACGACTTCATTGATGTTTTGCTCTTGCTTGCATTCTTCAGTCATCTTTCTTATTACTTTCAATCGTAGAAAAGAGTGGGGATTAGAGCCTTTCCTTCCCCTAACTCTGCTTCCAACTGTCAAGGAGAAGAATGTGTGTAAGACCTTGTCTCAGCTGCTGAAGACCTACCAGCATCCACCACCTTCTGGCAACAAGGTTTCTCCATGACATTTCCATTACTGCAACATGTACATTTCAAGTAGATGGTTGTTAAATTGATATTGTATATAAAAAAACATTTTATCAGTACTGAGACATCTTGCCATCGTGCTGAACCATTGCTTACTTTTCAAACTAAACCTAAATAAATCTTTTTGTGAAGAAATTCTAATTCATTGCATTCTATGATTGTCTGTTTGAAAAGTAGTCCTTTATCTTAGGACAAGCCCTTCATCTCTACAGATTTAACTGTTGCATAAGACATAATGATCCAAATCTGTTGCTCAATAGTGCCCCCATGAGGGCATAGAGGCAAGATGTACAGAAATGAACATTTGTCTATCATTCTTTTGACAGGTCCCTCCACTCCAAGGAAAGCTTCAATACATGCGTGTACTAAACGACCTTCCACCTTTTGGTGGAATACTGTTCCAAACTGTCGGACTGGTAATACATACTTTAATCTGGTGCACAAATACATTTGTTATTTCCTTGCAATGTGCTGTTTTTTAGGTATATTGCTTGCAAGGTGTATGCTTTTGTAGATGCACAGATTTAAGATTTTTAGAGAAATGTCTACACAAGTAATTCTGAAGGATATTAAATAATCTACCATAAGAGAAATAGAGGCAAATTGTTGTGATCTTCTACAGGATGACAAACAATCATCTACAACATTATTGGTGGGTCCTCGTCATGGCATAAGTCATGTTATTGACCTGAAAAACAACCTCACAACTGTTCTGACTGAGTTCAGTAGGGTTGCCAAGATCCAGCTCTACAGAGAAAGCCAAGGAGTGGCTCGTGTGGAGGTTACAATCCATGAGGCCAAGGTATTTTAACAAAATCTTTCTAAAACACACACTCTGAATACACAACATTCCAATTTACAGTTGTAAAAAAAAATATTTTGCATGCCATCTTCAATATTCCCATTTTAACTTTATAAATGATATTATTGAGTGAAAAAACATCTTTTAACTTTTTTATAAATGTAATTGTATCAGGTCATTACAAAAAGAGCAGGCAATGCTCATTGCCTGTCCCCTAAAAAGTCTCCTAATTCCCCTCCCTACAACCCATTGCAGCCCCTGGTCCTTCTCATGGAATGGCCTGAAGCCAGTAACTTCGCATGCCTGATCTCTGGCTACTATAAGCTGTTTGTAGACCCGAAACGGACCATCTACTTTCGGACTCCTGGTCAGTCTCAGCTGACCAAGGCAGGTATGTATTTCTCTGATACAGCAAAATGCATCAAAAGTAAAATAATGAACTTAAAATAAAACACTTAAAGCTTGTCTAGAGTTGCATAATGAATAGGTACATCTCTTGACAACATATTAAGCACTGCATGTCAGGCAACATTTGGCAATCTCAAATGTATGTTTTGTTTACATGGATATTGATCTGCTTCTCCATTGGCTGAAACCATTACCTGTAGCAACTAAGTTGTTCTGGACCTGCCATCCCATGGCGCCCTCTGCTGTCTCTTCTCTCATTTCAGTCTTGACTCATTGGAATGGGATACTCCATATTTAGTGTTCTAGAACAGCATCATAGAAATGTTTGAATGATTTGTACTTTGTCCAAATACACTTCTTGCTGTAATCATTGACATCAACTGTTCAAACATGAACAGAGCCTCTGCCATCCGCTGTAGTCTACGTTAAAGAGGATTCATCATACCATCACATTCCACCAGAATCTAACCCTCCAACCTCAAACAAACTTCAACTCTTACATTCATCCCTAAAAAACAACCTCCATGTGACCACCAGCTGTCACCTCTTCTTTCCCATTTGGATATTCTCCATCCCCACTAGTTCCTAACACCTTAAATTCTCCACTACTCTGATAATTCTATCCTCAGATTACAGAGGCTCCCACCATGCCCACCCACGGTCTGGGGCAACCAGCTTGTCAAGTGGAGGGCGGCGAATGGACGAGAGGGAAAGTTCACACAGGGAGTCAGGTTCTGCAAGGGCCCTAGTTCCGGCAGAGCCTCAACATCTAGGCCTGTGCCATGTACATCTACGTGAACAACAACAATTTCAAACGCTCCAAACACAAGCCGAAGCTGAACTTGATATCAATGAGAACTTTATTTCCCATGAGCCGCCTGGCCGGGCCCGGACCAAGTCAGACCCCACCCAGCAGAGTTCAGAGGAAATAGCTGGGGTTTTAGAGAGCCCACCAGTGGATAATGCAGGATTTAGAATTAGAGCCCAAACAACGAGTCAATCCCAGAAAAACTTGAGATACTTCTGTGACTCCTGCAAAGCGAGGCATAGGGCAGAGGGGCTGTCAACAACGATGAACAGTAGTGGGAGTTCAGGAAAACACTGCTCCAGTTCTTGTGCCTCCCGAGATGGAGGTGCTGTTGACCTTATGGCCCTACCTCCCCCGGGAAACGAAGAGGAGGAGGTTGAGGTTGAAGGAGAAAAGCTACAACCACCACCACCTGCTATTGCTGCGCCACCACCGGGCTTCAGGGACAACAGTTCAGATGAGGATGACACTAAGAGAAGGAGGAGGGCTCGAATCAGTGCCAGTACAGGGGTCAACTCTGGGAAGCCGGCGCAAGCCAAGGAAGATGTGCCTGTGACACTGATTGATAATGTGGCCACTAGGACAGTCCGTGATCATGCCCAGGAGCTTGATGATGCTCTGGTGTCCACCTTACAGGCACTAGAGGCTTTGGCAGCCTCTGAGGACTACCCCCATCATCCTCAACAGCCAACACAGGCTGCAGGTCAACAGCCTCAGTCACGCCACAACCCACATCTCATTCAGAAAATTGAAAGAAATACTTTTGCGATACATGTTAATTTTTTAAGTCAAGCCTCCATGTCAAATGGCAAGAAAATCCTGAATTGCTTTATTTTACAATAGCAATGTATTTATAATCATTTAAAATGACATAAACATAAGATAGAGGGCACAACACAACCTCACATTGACCAATAATTAAATTTCCACTATTACACAAAAACAAAATAAATATGTATACTAATACTATGCTTGTGAAGACACAACAACAATAGCTGTTTTTAACTAATGTTGTGAGCCTTGGATACATTTTAATAGCCTTTTTTGAAAAGTCAACTTTAATTTTCCAACTAAATAATCTCAAAATTTAAATAACAGTGAGAGTGTGAGTATATAGGCCTCCAAAGGGGCTTAAACCCTGATTCTGAAGGACTGACTTTGGGATTTTCCTTTTTAGTTTCACTGTTCTATGAAGTTCTTTATCTATTTCACTTGTCTATGCACTGATTGTCCTAACAGTGTGCTTTGTTACCTTCCTTCTCAGGGCTGATTGTCTTAGCTGCCATTACACCAGAGTCATCATTGGACTCAGGCCATGAGACAAACTCCTCTGAGTTGACAGATGTTTCGGAAATGGTATCGGCCATGAAGCAGAACCAGAACCAGGCCTACTTGCTGGCTCACCATATCAACAAGGAACGTATCCTCTGTCGCCGCGACTTTCCCCTGGCTATCCCTGGCTGCACTGCAAAGACAATAGGAACTGGGGCCTTTTCTGTGGGTCAGATTCGTGCTGGCTGTCCACCCAAGCAAGTAATCCTCAGCAAGACTGTTCCCTTTAAAGTAAGTCCCAGTCAAGAATCTTCAGTGCTTAATGTTGTGACAGAACAGGGGGGGAATCAAGACACTACTCAGCCTAAACAGAAAGCAGAAATGAAAGCAAACTCTGAGTCCACCAAAGCAAACACCCCTGATCCCCCCCCTATGTCACCTGAAGAACTTAAAGTGTCGAATGCTTCCGCTCAAGTCAATAAAGATCAGAAGCTATCAAATTCTTTCGTGGAGAAACAGCCCCAAAATCTGTCTGAGAGTAAAACGGGGAAGACAACAGCACCTCTTAAAACAGACCCTAGCAACAAAGCCTTACCTATCCTCCTGCCTGTGGACAGAACTGCCTCTGCCAAGATTTCTCCCGCTAAAATGTGCCAAGATGCCAAGACTGCCTCTAGTGAGACCATGAAGCCTTCAAGCTCTACTGAACTTCTGCCAGTTGATGACCTTTTCTGCACATGCCCAGTGCAACAGGAGCCTGGGCCTAAACTGAGAATTAAAGACCCTCAGGTTCAGAAGGTAGTGGTGTTTCAATCCTCCTCCCCCACAGATGATGAGCGTCTTCGGGCCAAAGGTCTCCAGATGGCTAACAGTAAAGAAAATTCAGTGAGAGTTGGAGCAGATCCTAGTTCGGCAAAACACAGCCCTCAATTACAAACCAAGTACTCCCCTCGTTTGCCTGTAAAAGCAGAGAAAAAGGAAGCAGCTGAAAGCAAGACAGAGGGCACCCAGGGAAAATCCAATCCTGAGGCTCAGAAATGTCCCATAAAATCTTTACCAATTTTAGATGATCCAATGGCACCTAGCCCCTCGGTGGAAAAGGTCTCCACACTTCCAGCCAGAGATTCAAAGAAGCAGGTGGGCAGTGGTAAAGGGAAGTCCCCACGCAGTGCCCCTTTCTTGAGCTTTAGAAACCTTCTTTCAGCTACGTTCCCAGCAAGAATGCGAAGAGAAACAGATGAGCGAAGGGCTCAATTGCAGAAAGTCCGTCAGTATGAGCTAGAGTTCTTAGAGGAGCTGTTAAAACCCAAGTCTTCCCAGGGTGAATTTTTGCCCCAGGGATCCTCACCAGTGCCCTCAGGCACTCCTTGTGCCTGCCAGCTCCGCACAAGCCCTATCCTCAAGGCACCAGGTATCTCTAGGGAGCAACGACGCAGCTGTGACTGTAAGAGGATGTGCAGAGGAATGAGACTACCTGACACACCTGTTGGCTCTACAACAGAGACACAACACAGAGGGAGAGAGAGAATTATCTCAAAAACCCCTCCAGCAGTCTCCAAAGCCCCTCACACTCAAGGTGCTACAAGGCGACCTCAGACCTTAGAGATCAAAACTACACGAATACGCTCTACTAGCCTTGAGTCAAGAGAGCCAAGGGGAGAGCAGGGTTCCTGCTTGCCTACTTGTACTTCTCAGACAGATTGCATGGGAGGTCCACAATATAAGAAGCTCCAGAGGCGATATAGCATTGGAGAGCTAGAAAACAGCACTAGCACACCTGTGTATGCTGAGGTAAAGCCAAAGGCTAAGAGTCTAGAGAAGGAGATGGAGAGAGTAAGGGCCACGGGACTGAGGCTCCCCACACCAATAGAGCCGATCCACACTCAGTCTCACCAGGACAAGGGGAAAAAGGGTGTATTTTTCATTCAGGGAGAAGATCTAGTGCGTGAAAGTAAAGATGAGCCTGGAGAGGTGCTGCTGACCTTGCCCAGTGAAGACAGTGATGACAAAGATAAATGCTGCTCATTCTGTTTCTGCTACAGGAAGTGTGAAGCAGCAGATGAAAGCAGTGAGAAGGATGAGCTCTCTTACTCAATACCACTTCAAGTCCTTCCAGGCATGGAGCTGGACTCACGTACCTTCCCTGTAGTAAGCAAAACCCTCCAGGTTCTAAATGCAGAGGACTGTAGTGGGGAAGAGGAAGAGGAGGAGGAGGAAGATGAGGAGCCACAGACACAGGAGATTGACCTCAGAGCCTGTAGTACACTGGAGGGGAGCCTGGCAAGGGTACAAGCTCTGCAGGGGAAAAGTTTCAGCTTGCCTGATGGCTTCCTTAATGCCCAGTTGGATGCTAATGAGTTGCTTGCCATCCTGCGTCAGTGTGCCAGCAGCCCACAAGCCGAAGGTGAAGCTCGTCTTCCTCCCTCACAGATTACAGAATACAAGCAGGAGCTGGCGGTGCGCTTCAAAGAATTCAGAGCATCTTGTCGGCGAGTGGCAAGTGTTGAAAAAAGTCCAACACGTATGCTTGCTGTTGTATCAGCCAGCTTTCAAGTATTGTGTGAACTGACTCAGACCTTCATCAAATTAGTCAGGGGGGTTCGTTCTGAAACCCAAAGGCTGCAGCTGTTAAGAAAAGTTGAGGAAGTAGCTATCAACTACACTTTGCTTCTACGTGCAGCAGAGGAATCAATGGGACACTCAAGCAGCTTGCCCACAAAGACTGTGAGCCCTCAAGTTCCCTCAAACACCAATAACATGAGCTCTCTCACTCGACCCATCAAAACTCTGCCTGCCCTGTAAGAACAAAGCTGACAAGGAGGTATCCCAATGGTCCAGATTGTGACTGGCTACTCTATCCAAAATTATGATTTGTTTGTTTACATTTTTATAAGTCATGCAATGAATCATCCTCAGTGAAAATGGAAATGAACCTGTTCCATCCCATGTTTACAGTCCCTGAGGTAGCCTTGTGGATCTTGTTTTGAAATCTAAAGATACACTAAACTAATGCACAATGGAATAAGAACCCTATAACAGACTGGGTGATACAGGGCTAATCACCTCATCAATACTTACAATATACAAAATTCATTATGGTATAATATTTTATATGTAATGTACATTTGAGTTGTGTCTATTAGCAAATAATATAAAGTTTTGTGAAGACAAAAGTGAAGAATATATTTGAAATGTATTGTTTTAAGAGAACTATAAAAATCACAATAAATCATCAGAAATAAATGTATGCTCTGGACAAAAATATTTCAGAGAACTCATAACGTAGCGACTTCTGTTAATTGCATAGTCCAAAGCCTTGGTTTGGCTAGATGGTGATGTATTTGTTTGTTAAATTTTCTAACTGTTGTAATGCAAAATGGAGATCTCTGTTGGCTTTGTTGAAAGCGTTTGGCGTTCTGCTGTGAAAGTAAAAAATCTAAGTGCCAGTGTTGGAAAATGGAAACAGCTGAAAGACAAAGTATGACATTGTAATTATAATGACCTACAGAGGCCCAATCTCTCACTATAACAGTGCAGGTATGAACACACCTGCTCAGGGCAGATAATGTAGCAGAGACCCAAGTCATGGTCTAATCACTATACAGTGATGAGTGTCACTCAGAGAAGGGATATCCATAATGTATTTAATAACGCACAGTGTATTCTACACCATCACTGACCCATGTCATACTTGCATTTCACTGACGTAGTTGGAAATATAGCTGTCCCTGAGTAAGCTTAGAACACGAATTTTGCACAAGCTCTGAAATTAGCTCTGCAAGTTGAAATGTATCTTTTATTGTTCAATTAAGTGTTTTTTATTCACACTGCTGCTGAATAACTGACTTGAGTCCACAACACCAGTTACACATAATTAATCTCCTCAAAGCTAAAGCTTACCCGTTTCAAAGGATCCTTTGTTTTATTCAGGTTTTCAGATACAGTATAAACAAAATTGCTTTCTATGTGCTGTTATACATTGTGCAATCTAGCAAATATATAAGAAACACAAAAAGTAGTTTTCTATGTATTTTAATAAAACTAACATCTGTTTCCTGTCTGAATTTTTCTTTGTGTCTCATCCTCTTGTTGTTCTTGGAAGTAAATCACCAAGGCTTTATAGTTGTGCTGGCCTAACATGTGTACTGGACATACTGTTAGAAGATATTGCTATGAAACAAGATTGTTAGTAACAACCCGGCTGCCACAATACTAAAGACAAGTGTTGTATGATAGTGTGTAAATCAAAAAGCAGGCTTTCCAGCAGAATTTGTTTGTTTCAAAATACATTTGAGATATTTAACAATCTCTTTTAACAGTTTGTCCTCTGCTGTTGATGTGGCATTTTCCATAACCATGTGCAGTGTTTTTCTCTGTCACTGTACTGCATGTTGTTCCCTATCGTATTAGACCTTCAGGGGCAGATTCTTAAACAATTGTAGGGTATGAGACTGTTTATAAAGATTATTTTACAATTCTAAAGTGGAAAACAGGCTAAATTGAAATGCTGTGGTGGCAATATGAGTGTTTTGCAAATAATATTCTGTACAAAAATGTATTATTCTACACTGCAAATGTAAATAGCAAGATAAAATACTTGAGAAAACACAGAACACTTTTAAAACCTTACTTGTTTCAATTTATCCAAACTCTTCACTATTTTGTATAAAGGAAAAGATTAACATGTCTGTAAGGTAATTATTTATAGTAGTAATGTAACATAGCAATTAATAGCAAACCCTATATTTTAATGAGTATATTACAAGCATAACGCATGGGACATGTTTATTTTTATAAACAAAAATATCAGACAATATTATCTCATCAGCACTCGAACATTTGACATTATGGTGAACATTTGTTGTGGCGGTCATGTTCAGTTGCTTTGCTAAACTGTTGTTTTGTCTGTGTTTCATTCACACGGTGAGCTCGCAATGGCTTAATCCATTGTTTCTTTATGTGCACTTATTCATTTCTGTCTTTATTTACTGTCAATGATCTTTGTCTTCACTGTGGTCTTCCGTCTGTGTACAAAGTTAAGTCATGTTTTAAGAGCAATAAAGTTTATTGTATAAACTCTTTCAGAGAATTTGGAGATGACATTTGGTTAACTTGTAGTGACAGGGTGTCCATTAGAATTACTTTAAAGAAAATACATCATGTTAAAGATAAATGAAGTGTCTCATTTGCAGCTGCCAGCACGTCCTAACTACTGTTGTTGCCTCAGGCGAAAACTAATGTTGACTCAACAGTGTAAACCTCACTGACTTGACACAACAACATCCATTAACAAGTTTTTGTGTTTGTGTTGTTGACATTTAAGAAAGGTTTACTTTAAAACTGTGTTTTCTGTGTTTGTCATTTTTATTCTTAAGTATTTGAATAAGCAAATTGGAGCTAGCCAACAGCCAGCCAGAGAACTTTCTAAACATCGAAATAATGCTTTGTTCATTTGCCAGACTAGCAACAATAATGAACACAGCCTGTGAGTTTTAAGCTTTAAACACCACAAGTATTACACACCCCTCACACCTAAAAACAACAGCAATGCATCACTGTTAAATGTCACACTATACATTTGGACATATTTAAGTAGGAATACCAATATCAGATTCATGATGATGATCCAGGGTCCTTTTAATGTACTTTGCTGGCTCACTGTCATCAATCAATTAATCAAGCTTCATTTATATAGCACCTTTCACACAAATCAAATGCAGTTCAAAGTGCTTTACAGCAACTGAAAAACACGAAGAAACATGGCTGGGATACATGAATGCCATTTTGTAGTAACACAAAAACACCACTGTTAATGTTATCAGAATAAAACGTTTTCTTACAAGATAAAGTGAAAATGCATGTTGTAAAAGCAGCATTTACTTAATTTTACTATTTACTATTTTGTAATGGTGCCTTAATCCGCCATGTTATCTCTGACGTCCTGAGGGGAGTGCCAGACATATTCCTGGAGCTTCTAACTACATAAAAAATATTACTTTAATACATAGGGAACGTGCAGTTTAGTTACCCAAATTTAGATCATAGATGGGCTTATTATCAATTACAATCAATCATAACCCAAAAACTTTAAATCAAGTTAACATCGACTGTTTCATAGCCTGAACATACACAGCACTGTCCTTATCATACTGGAAAGACTTGCTTTAACATCAATATCAATTTTTTTATGACACAATTGTTTTTTATTTTTTCAATAAATTTAAGAAAACCCGTTAAAAATGCAGCTATTAATTGTTGCATCTGTACAACGACGTCTTTACCTACTTTTCGCTCTATGGTTGTTGTGTTGACGCTTATTCGAGCGCATTTAAATCAGATTTTAGTAAGTGTACCCCTTGCTCGCTCACGTGTATCTGGTTTCCAAGCATCTGCCCGGATATACGTCATCACGTCAGGACGCAAATGAAAGCGTGCGCGCCACCTCGGGAGGAAAACCCGTTCGCGACATGTGTGGGACATAATGGTGGATAGGTAGGGAAGACACTTTAAGCTCAGCAGGAGCTGCTCATCAACTGTTGGAACCATTTCCAGTTGTTGCCTTGGACTCTTCGATACTTGGGATTTAATTTCTGCCCGCTGGCGTAGCCTGCTCGAATCGCTCGACGCCCTGGACCGCAACAAAATGCCGAATATCAAAATATTCAGTGGTAGTTCACATCCTGATCTGTCGCAGAAAATAGCAGACCGACTTGGTCTCGAGCTGGGGAAGGTTGTTACGAAGAAATTTAGCAACCAAGAGACATGGTGAGTGGTGCTTTTGTTGCTACGTGAGGCAGCTAACAACCAGTAGCGTGACGGTGAGCACGCAAATGTTGTAGCTTAGCGACATGTATGTGGTGTCACTGTGTCGCGCGGTGGTGTTAGGAACTTGTAGTCCACTCGTAGTCTGAGAATTCATGCTAACTTACATTCTGCTTTGTAGTCCTTAACAACAAAACCACCTTCGTGTTATAATTCAGCTGAAATTATCATCTCGTATCGTGAAGAGAAATTGTGTGACTCAGCATGCTGTTTTTTCCCCCCCTCACTTTAACTCTAGTTCACACACGGAGACACATGCCATTGTTGACTCTTCCTCATCTGTCTCCCGCCTGCTACGGTGTGTTACCTCCATGGCACTAAGTGATGTTTGTCTTTTCGCTTCTCTCTTCTTGCAGCGTGGAGATAGGAGAGAGTGTACGTGGGGAAGATGTCTACATAGTGCAGAGTGGCTGTGGGGAGATCAATGACAATTTGATGGAGCTGCTGATCATGATCAACGCCTGCAAGATTGCCTCTGCCTCCAGGGTCACGGCTGTCATCCCCTGCTTCCCATACGCCCGTCAAGACAAGAAGGACAAGGTGGGGGTGAGGGACATCTGTCTAATTACTTCTGTCATGCCATTTGCCATCAAGCATCATGACAAGAAGCCTGCGGCCATGTCCATCAATAAACACTTGACAACGCATATTTGCTTTTCCTTTTTGTTTGTTTTTCCCGCTTTCATCCTATATGCTTTAAGTGTTAGCTGTTTCCCTCTCATTCATTCTTGTTTGGCTATTTGCATGTTGTTTACTCTCGCTACATTACATTTCATTTCTATTACATTTCAAAAAATATTGCATGGATTGAATGTGTTGCACTTGAAACTAAGAATGCAAAATGTGTAAACAGTTGGGTTAAACTATTTTGAAATGAAATTATTTGAAGTGTTTTAAGTTATGGAAACGTGCCTATGAGCCAAACCAATAGTCAAATGTTATTATTAGCAACAAGCCATGCTTGCCTCTTCACTTAGTCCATGTGACTGAAGAGATCTGTTTACATTTCAGAGCCGTGCTCCTATCTCTGCCAAGCTGGTGGCCAACATGTTGTCTGTGTCAGGCGCTGACCATATCATCACTATGGATTTGCACGCCTCACAGATACAGGTGAGCAGCACAAAAGTAGACCTATTCTTCTCCAACAATTTCTAAACCAATTAGCCTCTTTAAAACTATATCGCAATCTTATTTTATAGCCTTCAATGTATACAGATGTCAATGCAGGACAACGGGAGATGAGCCCTTTTTAATGGTCCTGAAAGCTGGTAGTTTATGTTCAACTGCTGTGGCCCCAGTCCATATAACTTCTTCTAAACTTTTTTTCCAGGGATTCTTCGATATACCTGTTGACAACTTGTATGCAGAGCCAGCTGTACTGAAGTGGATTAAAGAGAACATACCAGAGTGGAAAAATTGCACCATCGTCTCACCTGATGCTGGAGGAGCAAAAAGGTTACGCCAGTGTCTTGATACAGATATTCTGCCCCTAACTTAAAATAAAATAAAATAAACTCCAATATACTGTTTGGATCAACATGTGATAAACTCTGGGGTGCTAGCTTAAAATCAATGAAAACATATTTTCCTATTGCAGGGTCACTTCAATAGCAGACAGGCTGAATGTGGACTTTGCTCTTATCCACAAAGAGAGGAAAAAGGCAAATGAGGTGGACCGCATGGTTCTTGTTGGAGATGTGACGGATCGGGTTGCCATACTTGTAGATGACATGGCCGATACATGTGGCACAATCTGCCATGCTGCTGACAAGTGAGCTTCTTTATTTACGTGTAGTTGTATTTAAACTGGGAACAAAATACTTCAACCATATATATCCAACCATGTGGAGATGTCAATGTGTTGTACTATTTCTCTCCCTTAGACTTATTTCTGCAGGTGCAACCAAGGTGTATGCAATCCTAACCCATGGCATCTTCTCTGGCCCTGCTATATCACGGATAAACAATGCATGCTTTGAGGCTGTGGTGGTCACTAATACAATCCCTCAGGAGGAGAAGATGAAGCATTGTCCAAAAATACAGGTCAGGTTCAACATTTTATTTATTTATTTATTTATTTTGAGTTGATTAAAAAAAGCATAGAGCCCAAATAAGTTATGAGGCTGGAACTTTTAATGGGTAAAGTACTTGGACATAGTCAGTGGTTTTTCTTGATATATTCATAACATCCCGTATTCTCTCTCCAGGTTATAGACATCTCCATGATCCTTGCAGAGGCCATCCGCAGAACTCACAACGGCGAGTCTGTGTCCTATCTCTTCAGTCACGTCCCCTTGTAACAAAAAGTGTCATGCATCCACTTCTGCCTGTTACGCCAAATAAGAGAATAGGGAATTCCCCACCAAATACGCAACCATTAGCAAAGAGGTTCTTTTAACTAGCCATGAGAAAATAGAAGGAACCGCCATGTCTGTTACTACCGCTAACCCCACCCATGTGAGCCCCTTTCCCTCTCCGCAGTGTCCATGTCAAGGGCAGCAAAGCAACCGCAATCTACCTATTTAGGCCAGCGTATTTATTGTATTTGGATAAATAGGTGTTTATCCACTGTGAACTTTGTCTCACATTTCATAAAATGTATAATCAGAGTTTCTCCTCCTGACCATCTCGCCTCTCCAGGAGTCATTTCGATCTGTTTTCTAAGAGCTTATAAACATCTTCCCGGCAGTTTCCAGTGGTCAGGAGAAGCACCTGCCATACAAAGCTATTACAGTGCTTTTTGTTACAATAAACAGGTGTAGTTTTTCAATGTTGCTCTTGTATATCTTGCTGTTTGAGAGATTACAATTAATGAAGTGAATGTGTATTGAACTGCTGTACAGTGCCACTGAAGCTCCACTCAACCGAGAGTGCCTCAACAGTCTGAAATGAAACAACTTCTTCCTCCACTCCTTTTTTCCTCCCTCCTTTTTAGCTGTTTTTATTTTATTTGTATTCATGAATGAAGAATTTAGATGTGTCCATCAGAATGTAGGCAATGTTTTGGAGTGTTCCTGTCAACTCTTGAGGTGCCCTCTTTGAGTGGGGTTTGCCCAGTGTCCAGGGTTCACCCTGTGTGGTTCTCCTTTTTGAAGGTCTGTCTTTATAGAAGCTGTGGGGTTTTTAGTTCGGGGTCTCTGCAGGCTGGAGCTTCCTTCAGAAATGTTCACCTGCTTTTTTTTGTGTGCTTTTTTTCTGTGTTTT